CTAAATAAATTTGGATGAATTTATATTCATTCTGATGTACTAAAAATTAATTTGCGCGAACTTAGGTTGATTCAGATGAATTCAAAATTAATTTGGATGAATTCTAAATTGATTCAGACCAATACTGAATTAGTTTTAACGGGTTATACGTTGATATATATAACTACAATTATTACTTTAGATGAATTCTACGTTAATTTATGTCAATAGGCTAATTTAGATGATATTCTAAATTTATTTGAATGAACTGAGATTGATTCAGATGCGTTATAAATTATTTAAAGGTATTGTACATAAATTTAAATAACTTCTACATTAATTAATTTATTAATCCTAAATTAATTTGAGTGAATTCGAAATTGATGCAGATGAGTTCTAAATTAGTTTAAATGGATTCTACATTAATTAATTTTGATGATTTAATTAATTCAAATGAATTCTAAATTAATTTTAGAGATTTGGGACTTTTGGACTTATGAAAAGCTGCAACTTGGGAATTTTTTACATTTGGAAGATTACAAACTTAAAGACTTGGGAATTTGAGGATGTGAAAATTTATAAAATTTGGAAAATTTTAAAACAATGGAATTTTGGAAGTTAGTAAATTTGAGAATTATGGATTTATGAAATTATAAAATTAGGGAATTAGAGAATTTGGAAATTCATAAGTTTGGAAATTTAAAAATCTAAAATTTAGAAAATTGAAGAATTGAGAAATTTTGTTACGGAAATTTCAAAATTTAAAAATTCAAAAATATAGAATTTTAAGAATTTAAGAATTTGGCAATTATAGAATTTAAATATTTATTAACTTAAAAGTGAAAGAATTTGAAAATTTGACGAATTTTACTATTTATGAATTTAAAATGAAAAAATTTGAAAATTTAGCAGTTTAAAAATTCAAATATTTCTAAACTTAAAAATGCAACTATCAAAAACTTGGTAAATTAAACATTTTAATACGCATATACTAAAACGAGCAAAGACTTGAAAATGATCTAAGAACTTGAAAATTACAAACTCTGTAAAGTTAAGAATGAAAAAATTCAGAAACTTCGCACCGATGTAGTTTACTTTCGACTGTTTTTCAATCTGTATTTTTCTTACAGCGATAATAAACTCGTAAATACTGGACAATCATCGAACAAGACTGAAGCAGCGTACATTCTTCATAGCATATGTTCAGAAATAACAACCAGAGTCGTCATGCCTTCCTTCATGACCGGCAGGCAGGTTTATGTCTTGGCTCGTCACGCCTCTACGTGCTGAACAAGACGACTCGAGCTTCTCTTCCTCTTCCTCCTATTCCTCTCATTTCGCTAGTTTTCACCGGAAGAAGAGGATAAGGTGAGACGAATCTCAAACGTGTATACGTATGTTCTATATTCATGGCTCATTGTGAGACAAGTTGCAGGTAAATGCTTAATTACCGTAGAAAACCGTAACGTAACGTGATCTACCGTTAACGCATTAAATATAATAGCAACAATAAAGATGGAATAAATTAATCCGTTCATTCACACAATTCAAATTAGATTATGTAGTAAAGTTTGAAAGTCTAATTACTCGATTGTGCAAGTAAATTATTTCTATAATTTGAACGTTTCCATTATTATCATTGATGTAACTGGAAAATCTGTTGGGAGAATTTTGGAATTTGCGAATTTTTATATTTGGTTAGGGAACTTAAAAGTTTAGGTATTTGAAAATTTGGGATTTGGAAGTATAAGAATTAAGGAATTTAGGAACTTGGAAATTTTGGAAATGCAAATATTTGGAAATTCGGTACTGAGAATCTGAGAGTTTAGGGATTTAAAAATTTAGAAATTTGGAATTGAGGATTTGAGAAATTTAGGGATTTAAATGTTTAGAACTTTGGAACTGAGGATTTGAGAAATTTAGGGATTCAAAAATTTAGAAATTTGGAATTGAGGATCTGAGAATTTAGGAATTTAAAAATTTAGAAATTTGGAACTGAGGATTTAAGAAATCTAGGGATTTAAAAATGTAGAAATTTGGAACTGAGGATTTGAGAATTTGAAAATTTGAAAATTTGATAATTTAAAAATTTGAAAATTTAACAACATAAAAATTTAACAATTTGACTATTTGACAGTTTGACAATTTAACAACTTAACAACTTAACAATTTAACAATTCAAAATTTCATAATCTGTTTGAAAATTTGTTAAATAAAGAAAATTCCTGAATTACAAAATATCATAAGAAGAATCGTTTACTACAAAATTTTGAGGCAAAGAATTGAACCTAAAGTTAGTATCGATATACGAGTGAAAATGGATGGTAACACACGATCCAGTCTACAACGAATCGGCTTATTCGAAAACTATTTTCTCCTCGAAAGACGCGAACAAGTACTACAGTACCCTATATTCTCGAAACTGTGCACAACGAGAACGGCATTGTCGTTACGATATCGTAGCAACATCTCTACGAACGACACTAGGCTGGGGTTCGAATAAATTTAAGGAACGAACAAGGGGGATCGGTAAAATTCAACCGTACACAACGGGTTTCTCTCACCGAAGACAAGTTTGACACCTACGCGGATTCCCTTTGACAAGAAAATATTGACCATTTTTAATACGTGCATCATATATCGTTGCTAAACAATAGCGCTGTTATATCTATCAAACAGCGTGTTTTATCAAAAAATTGTTTACTATTAACATTGAGAGAAGTACGTGTTCGAATTTGAGAAATGCAATCATTGTAAAAAGTGTCCACGTATGTTTCAAAATAGAGTAATTTTCTTGGACGTTGAACTATAAAATTTCAGTTTATTTCTTAATATTTGTATTATTTAAGATATAATGCTTACTTTATCACACAATGTGCTTTCATCTCTCTAAAAGAATGCAATTTGTCAAAATTGAGATTGCATTTCAACTTCTTTGAGCCTTTTGTAATTTTAATGAAATTACATGCACGTTTATTGCTTGAACTTATCACAATTAGAGACATTTTCGTAAGTTAGAGTTTTTGTAAGTAAAGGATTATTATAAAAATTAGCGGTTCTACTACAAATTTGATATTTTAGAAACATTATAGGTATATCAGATATTACAATCAGTCAAGTTTACATTTCTAACGGAGTAGGACGGAAATTTTATTGTAAAAAACAACCATTCATTGTAAAGTAATTAATATAAAATATTGAATGCATTTTAAAAGCCTTATAATTAAACGTATTTTGAAATAAATATTTTCGCGCACAATATCTGGAAATGCGCGCGCTACCGTCATCTTGCAATCACGTGTCGAACTACCGAAACAAAGAATCATATTTTTCTTGAAAAGGGGTTATCATGTTTTGTTGAAGATTTCAAATTGTTCTACGAACACAATGAATTCAGACAAATATTTGAAATATGAATTCGAAATTTTATACTTGGAGATTTTTTTAATTACACAAAAAACAATTACCTCAAAACACTTAGCCATCTAGCGATAGGAAGTCGGAACTAATAGAACTAGATTTCGAATATAATTTTTACGCTTATAGACTTATCCGATACATTAGTACTTGAAAAATATTCTACCATTAATTAGAGTCGCTTTTAGACATAATTTGACGTATGTCAATGTCTATTATGCCGGAGAAATCGATATTAATTGAATTTTTACGAAAATGGAATAAGTGAAACTGTAGTTTAATTAGTTCCCATCTTCTGTCGCTAGATGGCGGCGCATAAAACTGAAATGTGGTGATCATCAGAGTCGTCGGTCAGAAAGAGTTCTGTTGCCAAAGTCATCCATCAAGAAGAGTTCGATTTGTATTTGTGAACAAATGATTAATGTTTATAGCTATCGTCGTTTGATCATATTCAATTTTATTTTAAAAAAACAAAATCGTTTGCTATTCATTCTGTAATCAAACCTTAATTTAAGAACATGTGTTAAAATTAAATTCAGAATCAATTCCGATAAAATTAGTTATTTTGCAAAATTAATCATTAATTGATTATTAAAATATAGGAAAACAATTCCTATAGAGATACAGTCAGTGTAAAAAGTATTCGTACAGTAATTATTTCTACAAAAATGTTGTGAAACGTCATTTATTAACAAAATTTTAACAAATAAAAAATACATACATATTCTTAGACGTCTATGTATTCTATGTAAGAATGTGTATGTATTTTTTATTTGTTCAAATTTTGTTAATAAATGTTTCACAACATTTTTGTTGAAATTAATTACTGTACGAATACTTTTTACACTGACTGTATAGGAATATTTCCTACAGAAATATACGAATTATTTTCCTATTATTCTTCCGAATTTTTTGTTTAGATAGTAGCCAATATGACCGCCAGAGGTTTTGTTTCTAGCTGAAACGCGCGAAAATATAAATGGCAAAATACGTGTAACTATGAGTCTTTCCGAAATGCTGCTATCCTTTTAGATTACTTGAGATAAGCTATTATCTTTTATATATTGTGTACATTATAAATCACCGCGATATTTCCGTTATAAATGTAAATTTCAATGTAAACTTTAGTTAGAATAAAATTTTAACTGACTTTTCAAAACAGTTACTAGAAACATAAAGTGCGCAATAGACAACTTTAAAGGTATGTACTTTCAAAACTTGTAATATTTATGCAATAAATATTTTATATAATTTATATTGCAAATTATAACAAATTTATGTAATATATATGTTTCTTTTTAAATTCGGAATAATGTGTACTATTATGCTGATATCACTGTAGATAGTATTGAAGTGTTCCTCTTGATTACCATTTACTCAAAGGAAGTCAGATTTACCTTTCCTTAGCAATAAAACCTTAGATGTAAATAGATATTCATATAGTATGGTTCTAAGTCTTCAGATAACGATATAAACAAAATAAAGCAATTTCAATACAACTTTTCATTTATTATCACAGTTAACATTAATGCAACACATTCTTAATGAGAAGTATATTAATAACCACTAAGAAATATATATATATATATATATACATATGAATATGTAGTTATATGTTGTAATGTATTTTAATGTTTTAAGTTTCATAATTACAGTAATTATTACAAAATATGAACTTAATGTGACGGCAATAGATCTATGAATATTGTAAAAAGCTTATCTCTTACTTACACCTGTACTTTCTAGGTTACACACAATAATTTTCGATTATACATTTTACAAATTTTCAACAGTGCTATCACATTTTTATACCTCAGAAGTGTAGTGCGCTAGGTTACCCTAAAAATGAATTTCTAACAATCATTCATATAATATCATAAAGAAATATGAAATTCATAAGATTAAGCATTTTAAAGATCGTAAGAATATTGTATTAAGAAATAGTTCAATTTATTTTTTTATTACAAAGTTAAATATTGGGTTCTGCCTCGCTCAAAGTGATTTGTTTTGGAGGAGCAAAATCAGCTTTCCACACGTTTTCTTTGCAATGTTCGACAGCCTTAAAAAAAAAGAACAAATACATACATATTCAAATTGCAATTATTTACGTGCATTGAATTTAAATTGTATTTACTTACTTTACATTCGCGAGCTGTTTCGTTGGTGGAACACCAGTAAACTGGTCCCCATGTGCAGTGCTTTATACGATTTTTTTCATACGATCGTTTAATTCGAGAAGTTTCCAAAGACACTGCTGCTGTAAAATCATTAGGTGCACAAAGAGCTATTTTGTTGCATACTGTATGCATAGTTTCATTGCGCGTGAGAAGATTTACGATGCTTCGTTCGTAGATATCCATTAATGAAACACACTGTAAAAAATTAAAAATTAATTTTATATTTATGTTCGTAAAGATACAACTATACAAAAATAGTGAATAGTTAGATATCAATAAAAGTTACCTTGTGTTGTTTATTTGCTGGTACATATTTACAAGCTTTCGATACTGCTTGCTCAATATTGTTATCATATTTAGAATCATCCATGAGTTCGTCTATCACAGATATGATTGATTTGCATACAGCACATTCAGTTACATATGCTATAAACATGGGAGAAAATAACAATATAGTGTTTTTACTTCGAATGTACATTTCATATAAAAATAAAAACTTTGAATATATGTCGGCGTACCTTTCACTCTCTTTTCAAATACTGAACAAAGTCCCATCATGGTACAAACTTGTTTAGGGCTAACATCTTTTGTAATAATATCAATTACAGCATCACCATATTTGACAACAAACTGGTTACATTCTCGGGAAATAGTTTTTGGAAGATGATTGCAAACAGTATGCACTGCCTTTTCAACCTTACTCTTCTCCTTCTCATTGCCAAGTGCTTTGTCAACGTAATGCATGGCAAACTCACAAACCACGCAAAATGTACTTTTATCGGCTACAGGAGCTACCGACGTGTCTGGTATTTCATTAGTCACTGAAACAAATTTAAATACCAAATGAATTCTATACATCTTTATTATGTTTAACAAACACAATACGAATCAATACATACTAATTTCACCATCTTTGTCAGTAACGAATTCACTGCTTGGATCATGATTTTTGGATGGATCGCATAATTTAAAGTATACACATATTTCTTGAGGTGTTAGGTCAGCAAGTAACAATTCTATAAGTTCTTTACTGTATCCTTGCACAAAGCTTTCACATTCCTGAGACAAACTGTTTGGTAAATGCGAACATAATTTATTCAACTCGGTTTGAATGTTTGCCTGTAATGAAACACACACAGTTTTAATATTATACAGACCAATAAACATTTAAAAAAGATGTAAATTAAGTATATTATAACCTCAGTCTTATTATTTTTTATAACGTTATAAATTTGTGAGACAGCAAGCAAGCATAGTGGACAATTCGGTTTATTCTGTACTTCTTCTTCGAGTGTAAATTTTTTTGGAATATTGTTCCAAAACTTTATTAATTTTTCAGATGGACATAATCGCAGCATTGGACACACCTGAAATCATTATATTAAAACTTCTTATGTATACTTCAATAAATGACATAAAATAAGTTATAAATACTAACTTGTGACGGATCAATTTCTTGAACTAATATGGCCACTACGGCGTCTCCATAGGTATCTACGAATTCCGTACATTGATCTTTTATAGACTCTGGCAATCTCTTACATACTTTTTTCAATGTATCTTTTACTTTATCCTATACAAAATTATAGTTCATTTAATACAATTGTATTATACGTCACTTAAATATGTAAAATAAATTTGTTTTTGCATCTCTTACTTCTGTAACAGGATTTGTCATTTTATCCTGTATATAATGTAAAATATACTCGCATAGAGTACATTTTTCTGTTCCAGTAACGTCTAACGAAACTTCTGATAGAGGGAAAGGTATTAATCTTTCAATGGGCAATTGCATCGATTCCACTTCGGATTTACTCAATTCTGCACTTTGTTTGTCAGTTTCCAAATCTTTGTTTTCACTTTGGAAAATACGTACGCCTATTTTGGCTGCAGATTTAGGTACTAAAGGCCAAATTGGTGCATCCTATACAATGTGAAATTTATAATAATTACTTAATGTATATATATACATAATACTGGTAAAAGAAAGATACTAACCTCCACTGATTTATCAGGACCAGGGCATATTCCACTCATTTGGCAAATAAAGTTACTATCTAATTCTTTTGTGAGATATTCATAGATTTGTGGATAATATTCATCAACTATTGCAGTACACTTAAATAGAACATTACATCAATAATAAATTAGTTTATAAATAAAATAATATGTACATAAGTATGTAAACAAATATTCAAATTCTTACTTCGCTTGAGAATGATTTTGTTTGTTTGCATAATCCTTCCAAGACTACTTGAAATTCTGCTTCTGTAGTATTAGCTACTAAAAGATCTCTTAAATGCCCTACAAGTTGCTCACATAATTTACATGGGAGATCATCGCTCACATCAACCATACCCACACTAGATAATGGTCTAATCTCTACATTTAACGTCTACAATATAAGCAGTATAATTGAACTAGTACAATATCTTAAATGTTATTGTGTTATAAATTCACATGATTTAAATGTATTTACCTTATTTATATCTTCATGTTTGTGGAATTTATCACTGCACTGGCCAGATAAGTGGCATATATTTGGAGCATTGAAATTTTCTTGCAAATGATTATATATTGTATTAAAATATGTTAAAACGGTTGCTGAACAGGCATCCGAAAATGTACTAAGTTCTCCACATAAATGAAACATGTGTTTTAGCATTTTATCACGAGGAGTCTGATGTATTTTTTGTTCCATATGCGTTGCAACTGTGTAACATTTTGAACATTCATCAGGTTCTAATTCATCTTTTTCCAAAGAACGAGCCTTTACTTTGTCAATCTAAAATGTAATATGTTATATAAAATGTAATAATCACTATGACATAGTTTAATACATAAATTTACAATTTAACACTCTAATTATTGAGATTAATAAATTACTGAAGTGTTGCTCATTCATTGCAATAAAGATTAAGCAAGTAATTATCTTATTATTTGGATAAAACAAAAATATTTCATCATTAAATTAATAATTTTATGCTATAATTACCTTTGATTTAGATTGTTCATGCTCTGATAGAAGTTGATCTATGTGAGCAGAATTACAAAGTCCAGAAACAGAACAAACAACAGATGGATTCATTTGCGATGCTAATGTTTCAACAAGATCGGGAATATATTGATCTACAATTGTTATACATTCGTGTACAATTGGTTTTATATGTATCAATTTACAGCTTCCTTCAAAAACTGCTTTTAAATCTTCCTGTGTTTGATTGCTTTCTAGCTGATCACGAGCTTGTTGAACCATATCTTTGCAAATGGTACAAACACTGTCATTATCTTCTGGCACTTCCATATCTTTCCATGTTGTTTTAATACAGTGTTTTGTTGCATTACATCCTGCAGCTGTTCTGTATTTATACAGAATAAAATGCGTTAGCCGTTTTCGTTGCGTTTAATATAATGTTAATACATAAATGATAAAACAGTAATTTTAACTTATACATTCATACATATAAATTATAGAATTTTGAATTCCATACAAAGCAACAGTAACATTTCAACAATAAAATATAATTAGACTGACAAAAAATGATAATTTATTCCACATTATATTTTATATATTTAAAAACTTACTTAATGTTTTCACACCAATACGAAGGTCCCCATGTACATTCTTCAGCCCCCAAAAGGTGAAGATCAGATGGATCATAAGCATTAATTACTACTCTTGCTGTACATACTGCAATAAACACGTTATTAGCATTTATTATATATTTATACATTATGCAATACTATAATAATCTATAATAATATAGCTGATACCACATAACATTACACATCAACAAATTTATTAAATACAAATGTCAATAAAGCTTGACTTTTAAATTATATTTATAAATAATGAATAAATTGATTGTATAAATAATTTAAATAATTAAATAATTTCATTTGAAAAAAAAAAAATAGCTAACAGGATTGTGCATACAAGCATACGTATATCCTGTTCATAGCAAACTATTCCATGGTAATTGTTGACTACTGACTCATCTCATTCATCTGAATAAGCAATTCCTATCTTTTGTGACTAAAGACAACATGATAATTAGATGCAGCAATATAGAAAATCTTTTGCCATTTTATGAAATTATATATCTGTAGCGATGACTTATTCTTTAAACAAAGCAATATCTATAACATTTCGGTGTCGAGACCCAATAACAATACTGCGTATCTTTTAATACGACTTCAGAAATGGTAGCGCAAAAGTCACTCTACGTAAGATACGGATAACCGCACTTGGAACGCAGAAAAACGGATAACATATTGTATATATAAAAAAGCAATGTCGTGTATGAACAAAGAAACAGGGCAATTAAATACATAATAACCCAGGTACGCACCAGCAAGAATCGCGCAGAGCGCGATGTAAATCTTCATTTTTGCTGTTTCACTTTCTAATTTCGTTGGAATCTATACCAACAAAAATGTGAAATATCAATTACGCGAATTCTTTGTTACTTTTCTATCCACAAAACTGTTTAACGATGACGTGCAATCACCCTTTTAACAGGTTCCCGAAAGCGTAATGAAACAGAATATCGACAAATCGTTCAACGGCTTTCCACAAGGCGCTACTGTCAAGTGAGTGTTATTAGCGTTTATACGCATTCTTTGACTCATTCCTTCTCTTTCCTTCGCATTTTGCTATATCCAACAGCCAATGACAACGTTGCAAGATTCTCACGTGATATGTGCCTCTCCTTCGCTTATGGCAGCGGTTCTCAAATTATGAATCGTTTCTAGTTTATTAGAGTGCTTCAAGTTCACCGAAGTGACACTTTCAGCTCAACTAAAATACACCTTTCAGATTTTAGAATTTTGAAACTGTGACTTTAGGACTTTCGGCAATTTGGAGATTTTATAAATTTTGTCGAGTTTGTAGACAAGGGGTTTTGGGGATTTTGTAACTTTGAAATTTCGTACTTTGTAACTTCAAAATTTCGAGACTTCAAATCTGTACGTTTGAATTTTGAGACTGTGTTTTTGAAATTTTAGGAAGGGATTTTAGGACTTGAAAATAGAGACTTCGGAATTATTGAGTTTTAGAAAATTGGAATTTTTGGATTTTGAGAATTTGGATGTTTCGAATTTTGAGAGTTTGGCATTTTGAAATTTGAGCTTTGGGATCTTCAAATTTTGACTGTAGTATTTTGGGACTTTGTTATTTGTCAAAAATTGGTCATATTGTGAAGCTGATGTCAGATAAATTTTACGTACACAGGACTACAAAGGTCCTGCGTTATATCTCCATATTAACAGATGACAGTCTGCGTTCTACTGAGTGACGTACTGAAAACGTCGTAAATCGAAAAAAGACTGTGAACCACTGATTTACCGTACAAGGAAAATGATAATTCGCGTTGATACATTCTTAAATTGTGAGACATCACTATATAAAATTTCGTCGAAGTAGAAATTAAATTATTCATAACTTTTCCTGAAAGAAATTAGACATGATTTTATTTTTTAATTAATGTAGAACTGACTTTAGCCGTGTCAGATTGTAATTGTGGTGTCATCTATCGGTGTAACTCGTGAAAGATTTGCAGTTAATACAAACTTTGATTATTCATGGTGTCACGACTTTATTTTTTCTAATCACGATTCACGTTGCTGTTGAGCAGATGAAATTTATCACAGTGTGGTGGAAAAAGAACGAGAATAACAATGACCGTATCGTTATTATACATAATACATATAAAATTGGTATCGGTGCGCAATTATGTACGGTACTAATGTGTCGACCACAGATAAACGAATTACTGATAAAGTAACGACATTTGATCGATTGCTCTCGTGTATTCCTTTGTAGCGAAATATGAATACTAACAGACGAAATCACGATCTTATACTTCTTATTGTTTTACATAACTGAGCATAGAAATAACTTTCATGCATTCCTTTAATATCACAGATTGTACCGCAAACATAATTTAATATCCTGAAAGGAATAAAACATAATATTAATACTGACAACTTCCATTCGGGACATCTGAACATAAAATAAAAGATTTTATATAATATAATTACTTTTCATTTTACAAACTTTTAATTTATAATTTGTACATAATATAAAACTCAAAAGAATTATTTTTCAATTTTAAGTTTTATTGCGTCTCTACTTTTTAGAAATAGGTTAGTATGTTTTTAATGTGTGTTTCGAATTTGATTTGTTCCAATGTTTTGCGTCAATAATGATATAAATAAATTTTCGATCCTTAGATGTCGAATTTTAAAAATATTTTTGTTCGTGACACGTGAGAATTTTTGTTGTTATATCACAAAGTATTTTTTTAATATATGTACAAAATGTTTGTAGTTCAATTTAATTTTAATATGCACATATGTATATTATCTTGTAGTTTCCAATGCGTTTATCTGCGTTCTGATTGATAAGAAACATTTAATTAACAAATTTCAATTTATCTAATTTAATCAGAATTAATTTGAAACCCTCCCAAATTTATTCTTAACGTTATTTCGTAAATTTCCGTTTAAAAGGAGATGAAAGAGAGAAGAAATTAATTACATTATAACATAAAATTATTACATTTAGATTATCGTTTCAAGCTTCACTGTCTTGGTAACCATTCGCTTGGAAAATAAAATATATATATATACTGATATAATAATATCGCGTGAGAGTTTATTATTAAACATCACAATGTTTTTAAGGTGAGTATCTGTATATCGCGTATTGAATGTTCAACATTTTCAAATTCAGAGTATGACATGAATCGCACTCAGAGATGAGCCGTACATTCGTTATCACGTGTTACTCAGAATTGTCATATGAACGCATGGCCAAGTATTAGTAAATACTGCCATTGTTATCAGTCTTAAATTAGTTTGGTTTCAAATCTCAGACGGAAGTTTTGGACGGAAGTATACTCCTGAAATGCTATTTTATATTCCCTGATATATTTTTTAAACATTCTAATAGTTTACCGTTATCTCAATTTTTATCTTTTTTTCCACGTTAAAAATTACTGACCAATATAATATATAAATTTAGCCAAAAATTAATAATTAATTATTAATTAATAATTTAATTAAGTTAATAAAGTTTTTTAACGTCAGTTAAAACATTTTTAACCGTTACACAATTCGTGTATCTATATACCATTATTTTTTCATACTTTGAGCATAATCTTCTTGATAAAAACGAAGCGATGGTAGAAGAGTTTCGTAGTTTCTTCCAGATTTTTCCAGTAAAACGTAAAAACTGAATGAGTAAACTTAGTTTTGAATAAGATTGAAAGAAATCCTATGTATCAAACGCTTTGAGTAGAGAGAATTTAAATTTCAGCTTTATGGTTGAATATTTATAGTGTCTTTAATTAATTGATTAAATAAATAACGATATTCTGTTGTTAAGTTTCATATAAAGTTTTTTATTAGAAAGTAATTAATAAATAGGTAAGAATAGTCAAAAATCATCGCTGTACCACAGTTTCTGTGGTGTAGTGGTTATCACATCCGCCTAACACGCGGAAGGTCCCCGGTTCGATCCCGGGCAGAAACAATTTTTTGATTTTTCAATACATATTTACTTTTTTATCACAAAATAAAATATACTGTGTACATTATTTTAATATTTTTACTACAAATTGTTAATATCACTCAACTGCAAAGTTACTAAATAAATAAAACTTGTAAAAACATTTGCAGATTGTATGACAATACAAAGCAATTGTTAAGTAACAGTAGTTACTGAGACAAATATAATTGATGTATTAAATATCATGACTATATTATGCAACTGATTTTCTAAAAATAGTTAAATCTTTGCAAGACTTGTATACTGTTGATTGGAAATTGTTATTGTATTATGTGGGAAGAAGTCTTTTTTAATTAATATGTATCTGTTTTTACTTCTTGCGTAATGATATTATGCAATAGTTTATCTTTAAAAAAAGTTCAGCTTTGATACATTCTAATCTGTCTAGCTCGTTACAGCTTTAATTAACTGCTTATCATATTAGTTATGTGGAACACCTTTTTCTATTCGTACAATAGATAAGCGAATATTTTTGTTGTATATGTAATATCAATAACGTTCGATCAATTAAAATGATTGGGAAATGTGTCAGTTTTAAAAAGACCGCCAGAATGTCAAACGTTATTGCCATCTAACTAGTGCTACTGAAAGTATTTTGTGTAATATACAGAAATATCTTAACGGCAGTTTACTTTTGTATCGGGAACTGTTATATCTTTAGTCAATATTTATACTTTATTGATACTACCGTTCGTTACTAGATAACGCTAATGGTACAATGTTTAGAAAGTGTCTCAAAAGGACTCGCGAATTGTAAATAAAAAAGAAAAAAATGGGAAAAGTTCGAAATATCGTCATGTTCTGATTCTAAATAAATTTTGCAAATAAATTCCTCTTTTTTATAGGAAACATCTATAAAAACTTTTCAATGTTATTCTCTGCATTATCGACGAGACACAGTATAGTATGCGAACTGTTCTGAACACATAATCCGCATCTTCGGAATACATTGTAAACAGTATTTTGATTATACATCAACAGTATTTATTGCTTCCTCAATCAAAAACTGCATCATATATTCTCAGGCAGTATTTTCATATAGATAGCACACGCAGTAACAGTATTCAATAAACTACATGAATTTTATGTACATATATGTACTTGTGCATATACACACATATGCATTTATTATACGCGACATCAATTTCAGAAAGAATGATATCAAAATGGTAAACAATTTTTACTCGAGTCATCAAAAACTGTTTTCATAGACCATTCTTTTCCTTAAAAGGAGTTTATTTGTAAAGTTTGATGTGATTTAGAGTATGATGATTTTCCAAAGAAAAGCCCAAATTGCTAATAGTTTGATTAAAGTATATAAAGTTAAAATATTCCGAAGTTAATTAATCTTGGATTCTGAGGTAATTTGATGCATATTATAGTAAATTAAGCCATTAAAATCAATATTAACTGAATTTTCACACAAAACGAACCAGGTGGCGCCATCTCTTCGGCGAATAGGGTGAACTACAGGGTTTTGAAACTGTTGTTTCATTAGTTCTTACACACTGCCGCCAGATGGCGCCACGCGTGTCATTTTGGATTCAATTCAATATAATTAATTTTATTAGTTTAATCGACTCTAATATGAATCGAACTGCATTGGAGTGAAAGGTCAATCAATTTCGAATTGTGCTTACTTTACTAAACTATTATCAATTTTTAAACATTCTTATGTAAATCCTAATTAGCCTACTGGATTTTATAGAGAGTGTTTTCTATATTTAAAATTAGTCAATAAATTATAACTTCCAAAAATGACTGATTTATTGATATTGATTTTGAAATGCGTGTTGCTGAATTTCGATTTGATTATGGAATGAATAACGAACGTTTTTCTTTTAACAATACAATTGAACATAAATAAAATTTAATGTCAAATACAAATAAAAATCTTCTTTATCGACGGCTTGAAAATAGAGTTCCTCTTGATCGACGATGACTCTGATGATCACCACAATTTTGTGGTGACTGTACCGACAGCGACACATGTGCCCTCTGGACAGTTCCTATTTTTAGTTACTTTTTATTTCTT